ATAAAATACAAAGCACGACTTGTCGCTCTATGTAATCAAACTAAATATGTAGATTACGAGAAAAGTTTTTCACCAGTAGGTAATCATGAGGAAATCATGATTATGTACTGAAATTAACTCTCAATCACGGCCGCTTTACCAAAAATACAACACATTTACTTACCTCATATACGAGGTGTGTATCCTTCGAAGTAGTTCACATTTGATTGAATTACACGCTTCCGAGGGCGCTTCCACATCTTTAAGCAGTCCTTGAACGCAAATTTTGGATTTTGGAATCGCGCGTATCCAAAAGTTGCAGGGAGATGTGTCGGGGCTATACGCAGGCTGGCGAAGCTGTACAATCTTGTGTTTCGCCAATAACTGCTGCAAAAGGTTCGATGAATGCGCTGACACGTTATCACGATGAAGAAGTGGACCAAGAAACACGGTCGTTTTCTTCTCACGGTATATCACGCAATATTTTCAACAAATTGTGGCCTAATCGCTATTGAACTCCATAAGTGCTGCATCGAAGGACAGACTGGTGGGCTTACAGAATTATTGATTTCAAACCATACCTAGAATCAAGGCTCAGGCGTTCCTGATGAATATGACTAACAACATCTTCTGAACGGGGCGGTTGGTCACGTCCAGGAAAACAATTAAAATAGAATTACGGCATGGACACGGTCGGTAGTGCGATTGCCCGAACAGGAACGCAGGCTACAAAGCATATCAATGAAGGAAAAACCAATATCTCTCCATAAACCCCAAGCAAAATACCTACGCTGAAAAGAACGTTATGGGGAACCGTTGAGCGAACAATTGCCAAAAATTGATCTTACGTTTCGGTTAAAACACTAAAGGCAAAAAGATCCTCTCTAAACAACGGCTTTAATTTTTATAAAATTCGACCATAGCGTGGAAGGATCGACGGTTTTTCCAGCCGTCACAGCGTAATAAATTGATAACGTCTACAAATTAAAGCTTCTTTAATTAGTTGCGCGGCCTGCGATCAACAAAAATCTGTAATCGGTCATAAATTTAGCTCAATTAAGCGCGCTTCTCGCCAAACCACTAACGATTGGTTCGCATGCGATTTACTGTAATACATTTGTTTACTTATGAACTTTTAATTATAGTTACTTAATTTGCCGGATTAAAATTTACAAATTCGATAGCCCAGTAATACCCATTGTTACCTGGAATTTCGGGTCAATCGCAACAGGTCTGCGATAATAAAATAAACCGCTTGTTGTAATTTTGTTATTCCATAGAAATATTTATTATTAAATTTCGGATTTGAATGAATAATCTTTTATGTTATTGATGTTTATTAACTAATTGACTTTGTGGTTGAGCAACAAATGTTTATTATTATTAATTATTATTCAATACAGAAAACATCTCTTTTACTTGGGAAGTATTAAACTTTTCTGTAGGGAACTCAAGTCAATCAATTTTTGGTTTTTCAAACTGATGTTAAAATGTTTCAAGTCGATCTACTTAAAAAGGCCTGTCGTACAAGAACCGTATGGGTATGGTTGGATTAAAAAAGCTTTCGAGAAGTAAACATGCTCTACAATGGCCGCGTTCTTTCACACAAACGTAGTTAGACATTATTTGCATTTTTAGTAGGTGTTTACCTGTACGGTATTCCTTATAGTAGTGATAATTTGAACTTCATTCAATGGTAGAAGGTAGCTAGTGATATTGTTGAAATGTTAAGAAGAAGTGCAGCAATTATTATTTAAATATAAACTTACACGCAAAGAAAGATTAAGTGGGAATTATTCAGATAATCTAAATTCAACGTTATAATTAGATATATGTGCATGTGTAGAAGATACATTATAATTCATACAAACAAATAAAGTAAATATGAACCTGCGACATGGGAATATGAAGTACAATAAGGTAATTTACATAGTCGCAATAAATAGGTATTAAAAATCTAAGAAATAGATCTATCTAGTTTACTGTTAATGCAATGGAAGCTTTAAGTACATTGATGTGAGTTAAACACGGTAACACTGGGAATCATTTTTCAGTTGCCAATAGACTGTTGGTATCTAATCAAAGTTACATCGAAGTGGAGAACTGATAATAATACGGTAGTACACAAATTCCCCCAAACGTTAGCAATAATTATGCTGTATTCGAGATTATTGTAAAAATAGTGTTATTTCCTGTCGAAAATGGTAAGCAAGACCACAATAAATCAACGTTTAGCTCTACTCCCTAAAGCATTGGTAACGATTTAATTTTTTCGAGGTGTACTGACCAGCGACCACTAATATCCCTTTTACGAGAGAACTTTTCAAGCTGATACTGATTTTGATGAGACTTTCACAGAAAATCACGTGGTAGTATTTCAATTTTCAATTTTTCTGCCTTTAATTCTGGTCAATTTGCACAGACTACAAACACACTTCTATTATTATTCGATTAGATATTGTAATCGTGTCATCAAAAACTGGCAATCATATTCTAATGCAAATCTAATTAGGTGCTTTATTTATTTACAATTAATTAACAATAAATTTATAACAGTCTTCAAATGGATTAATTCATAGCTGTAAATTAGTATTTATCACTCACAATGTATAACATAACACGAGCTAGACCTATTTATCACTAACATTTAACTATCGGCATCGATGTTGGAACTGACTCGAAACACAATTAGATTAGGTTATATAATAATAATAATAATAATAATAATAATAATAATAATAATAATAATAATAATAATAATAATAATGTTTATTGTGATGAAAACTCACAAATGGTACAGGGTTCGCTCAGGAGCGATCTTCCACCCTACCAAATTAACCATTTCGGACATACATAATTATACATACAATTTAACTAAATGTTTATAGATAAACAAAAAAAATGTAAAAAAGAAACTATGTTGTGGCTAACAATAATTCATAATTACATACAATACAGTACTGGGTTTATAGAGAAAAGAACATTTTCATATAAAGCAAGTACAACACATAACCATTAAAAAATTAAATTTGTGTGCTTAATATAATATTTTTAAATTTTTCAATTGGACAATCTAAGTATGGATGAATTATATTTAACATTGAAACTGCATTATATACAAAACTGCCCTTAAATTTGCTCGTGTTGTATTTTGGGATTGTAAATGTATCCATTCGTAGATTTACGGCATGTTCCTCGGAACGTCTTATAAAATACTCTACGAGGTAATCAGGTGTATTATGCTTCATTAATCTATACAGAAACATAGCCAGCAGATGGTTAAATTTCTTCTCAATTTTCAGAAGTCTGTTTCTTTCCAGATACGGAGTAACGTGTTCTCTGAATGGTATGTTTAGTGCATAACGAAGGCATGCATTTTGTAATCTTTGCAGTTTACTTTTGCCTTCTTGCGTGAGCGCATTGTAATACACAATACTGCAGTATTCTATAATGGGATATATTAATGCTTGAATTAATTTCAGTTTCGTATCAGCAGGTAATTTCTTTAGGTGGTAAATTTCTTTAAGTTTTAAAAATCCGATACCATATATCCTATTTAAGTGATGCACAAAAGATAACTGGTTGTCGATAATGACACCTAAATTTTTAGCGTAGGTAACCCATTCGATATCTGTCCCATTTATACACAGCGTGAAAGCTTTTGGGTCAAAGTTATTTCTTCTCGTGTTTATACATAGAGCCAATGTCTTATTTGGGTTTAAGCGCAGACCATATCTGCTACACCAATAATTTAGATTCCTGAGATCCTCATTAATTTTGTTTATAGTGGATGATACATTATTCACATCACAAGATGTATATAATTGTATGTCATCTGCATACATATGACTTTTGCAGTATTTCAGACAGTATGGCAGTTCTCTGATATAAGTCGAAAATAGGATAGGTCCTAATATACTGCCCTGAGGTACACCCTTATTAAGATTGCATACTTGTGACCATGAGTTATTTACACAAACGGCTTGAGATCGATTTTCAAGGTAACTGTGCATCCATCTCAGTGCGCCATGATCAAAGCCGATGTATTTTAGCTGTGCACATAACAGTTCATGATCAACAAGATCAAATGCCTTACTCTGGTCTAGAAGAATGAGGAATGTTAATAATGAATGGTCCGCTGCATTGTGAATGTCATTGGTGACTTTAAGGAGTGCTGTTTGTGTGCTATATTTTCTTCTAAATCCTGATTGTACTGAAGGTAGAAGTGAATACAGTTCTAAATATGCTGTGACTTGTTCCGCAACAAATTTTTCAATAATTTTCGATAGAGTAGGCAAAACACTAAGCGGTCGTAATTCAGACAATTCTGTCACCGTATGTACTTTAGGAATTGGTTTAATTTTTGCCATTTTCCACATATCTGGAACGGTTCCAAAGTTTAGAGAGTCATTTATTATATCTACCAAATTATCTATACAGTATGGCAGAACTAATTTTAACATTTTTAAGGAAATACCATCCACCCCAACAGCTTCTGACTTAATTGTACGAAAAATTCTGTAAACGTCGTTTTGAGTTATACTTGTAAAACTAAATGTTATATTTTGATTTAATGTGGAATTATTATAGAGGTCAACTATATTGACATCTATTTTAGATGTACTAGCAACGTTTAAAAAAAAATCGTTAACATCGTCTAATGTTATATGTTCTGGTAACTCCAATTTGTTCTCCTTGCGTTTATTATTCTTAATGCCTGTTGTGTATTTTGAGGTGGCACACTATTAGTTAAATTCACATGTCTTTAGTTTAGTAAACTTTAATTAATCATAGTCGCAGAAGTACAGAGAACTATTTATATCGAAATTAATATCCTAATTGAAAAGCGATGCGTAACTAACTAAAAAATAATAATTGACAATCTTTTTTTTTCCTAGCAACAGCGCGCTAGATTTTTCGACTTAATTCTAATTTAAATTGAGAACATAATAGTCTCCCCCCACAAAATTATGACAGTTAATTATAAATTTAAAAAGTAAAAGTTGTAACAACAGTTTAAATCACATGACATAGTCTCTAAAACGTTCTGGAGGACGGCGAGGTCGAGTAGATCGCCGGACGGATTCCACTGTTGGAGATTGTCCAACTTCTGAAGGTTCAGCTTCGACATCAGGAATAACATCCGATCCAGGATTGGCTGGTAGGAGCATGGACGCCAGTTTTTCGTAGTGGTGGTTGATTTCAGGTGATTCCGAATCTGAAGTAATTTGTGGTGGTTGCAAGGGTAGCTGACGGTTGGGGTATATATCGAAGTTGGCTTTTCTCAACTGGTTCGTGTGTCGTTTGAGCCGGTAACCATTATTAAGTTCAACTTGGTAGTGGAGATGTCCGAATTTTTGGATGATCGAACCAAATTTCCAAGTATTCTTGTTGTTCGAATACCATCTTGCTAGTACCTTGTCCCCAATTTTGAATTGTCGTGATGGTGGCAGGTCGAATTGTACTCGTTTTTGGATTTTTAAAGAAGGAGGCTTGAAGACGTCGAGCTGGCACCTAATGTTTCTATTCAAATACAATTCGGCTGGAGTTTTGCCATTCTGGAGAGGAGTGGCTCTGTATCTGAATAATATTTCGCGGACCTTGTGTTGTATAGAACCTGGTTCGGTCATACACTTCAGTTTTGATTTCAAGGTTTGTATATAACGTTCGGCCAACCCGTTAGTTGCAGGATGACCTGGCGCTATAAACTTTTGCAAAATGCCATTGTTCAGACAGAAGGTTTTGAATATGTCACTGTGAAAAATAGTCGCATTATCTGATACCATGATTTTAGGGAATCCATGAGTGCAAAAAATGTCCAATAGCAGCTCTATGGTAGTTGCAGTCGTCGGGGTGTCTTTAATGATGCGAATTTCAGCCCACTTTGACTTGGAATCGACAAGGACAAGAAAATGGTGATTCAAAAACGGCCCAGCATAATTATGCTGCGGATCGTCCCAATGATGGAGAGGAACTTTAGCTGGACTTTTCTGGAATAGTGCGCATTCCTAGCCGTTTGTTACCATAGCTTCTATGTCTTTGTCGATGTTTTTCCAGAAGCAGTGGCGTCTTGCCAACTGTTTCATTTTTACGATGCCCACATGTGTTCGATGCAGTTCCAAGAGAACTCTTTTTTGAAGGGCTTCAGGTATAAAAACTCGTTGATTCTTGAAAATGATGCCGTTGGAAGTGCTGTATTCGGGATCACGTCGTTTTCCAGAAATGAGATCTTCATGAAGGTTTGAAAGAAATGCGTCCTTGGCTGTTTCTTCAGCAATAGTTGAACTGGTGATGACGTCAGTAGAAATCTGGTTGATGATCTGATCTTCAAGGGTTGAAACTTCGAGACTCATGATGCATTCTGTAGAGGAGCTAGATTGTGATGTAGGATAAGTAGCTCTGGAGAGACAATCAACATGTATGTGATCCTCTGCTTTTCTGTGTACAACTTTGTAGTCGAACTCTTGAAGAAAAGTCGCGTATCGAAGTAGTCTCGCTGACGTAAAGGATGGCAGCTTCGTTTCCGGGTGTAAAATTCTGGTCAGTGGCTGGTTATCAGTGATTAGCGTGAATGGACGACCAGTAAGGTACATATACAGTCTTGAAACACAAAAAATTATTGCGAGTGCCTCGCGGTCAAGTTGGGAGTAACTTTTTTCTGCGTTTGTCAAAGATCTTGATATGAAGGTTATAGGCCTTTCTACGCCATTAACGTCGTGAGATAAAACACCAGCGATTCCCGTGGGACCGGCATCGCAAGCCAAACTTACTGGAAGCGATGGATCATATGGCATGAGAACTCGATCGCTAATGATTTCCGTTTTGAGCTGCTGAAATGCCTTTTGGCATTTTTGAGTCCAAACCCATTGACTTCCTTTATGAATCAATTGACGCAGAGGGTAGGTTATTGAAGACAGGCTAGGTATGAACCTCGCATAATAGGTAACCATTCCTAAGAAACGATGTAGCTCATCAGGATTTTTAGGTTCCTCCATGTTGGCAATAGCCTCAACTTTCTTAGGGCATTTCGAAATTTCGTTATGTCTGACACAGTATCCTAAATATTGAACTTGCGTTTTGAAAAACGAACATTTTGCTTTGTTCAGATGCAAGTCGTTCTTTTTTAATCTTTGAAAAGATCCAAATGGCAGAAAAATTTTGAATTTCGAAGATTATTGAGAATATCATCAATCTTTCTTATAGGGTAATGAGCCGATTTGAGTTGCTTATTGACGCCAATCTTGTAGTCGACACAAAGACGAAGCGAATTGTCAGTCTTTGGAATAATGACTAGAGGAGAACCCCAGTCACTAATTTCAATTTTTGAAATAATGCCTCATTTCTCGAGATTGTCCAGTTCGATATTAACCTTCTCCAACAGAGCGTATGGGACAGGTCGTTCTTTGATGAAAACTGGTCTTGAATTAGGGCGCAACTCGAGGGAGCAAGTGATTCCAGGTACACATCCGACTTTGGGCTCAAATATATCAGCAAAATCTCTCAGTATGTCTGCAATAATGTCAAGTGAGTCTTGGCCAGGGCTGGATTTTTCGAAGATGTGAATAATTTGGTTGATGGCACTCAAGTCATGGAAAGAGTTTATGTTGACAAAATTTGTGTTTTGAGTTTCAGATCTTTTCTTCTTGGTTTTCTGTTGCATGAGAGTTGAAATACAAACGGCTGAAACATGACCCGTTCGTTTACAAGAATCACACCGCAGTTTTGATTTATCAGCGCGGCAATCTTTGGTAGGATGCTTAAAAGAGCAACGGAGGCAGCGGTTGTCGAGTCCTAGGTGCTGGTAATTGAGTCGAGACCGTGATTTTGAACGCGAATCTCGAGACGAACTTTGTATATTGGTAGATGAGTTATTTGAAGACCTGATTCGATTGTCATGGTTGGTGGATGGATTTGGAGCACGCGATCTGTGCTGTCCAATTTTGTTTATGTCACTTCCTCCAAGAGGTACTGATAAAGTTGGTTGACGGTTAGAAATTTCACGGCTATCAATTTTAGACGCCTCAAGTGCAAGTGCCTTTTTCATTGTCCCGTATGCCCCGAATGAGTTGGGCACGCAAAAATATTTCCGCAATACTGGCTTGACAATTTTCTGCGTGACACACAAAAGCACAATCGGAAATATCGCGACGCAAAACCGCAATGTAGTCTGCAATGGACTGCCCGTCTTGTTGATACAAAGACAGGAAACGGTGTTGAGCAACCAAAATGTTTCGTTTAGGACACAAATGAGTTTCAAGCACTTGAACAATATCTTCGTACGATTTTTCGATAGGTTGCTTGGGCGCGACCAACGACACAATTAACTGGTAATTACTAGAACCTATTGAATTCAGGAGCATTTGAGCACATAACGTTTTGTCTTGAAAAACACCTTTCATCGTCAAGTAGGGTAAATGTGGGATATATGGCACACCTAAGGAAAAAAAATCGTATAGATGTAATTTTAAGTATCGAAATAATATTATAATTTTCTAATGATATTTCAATGTGTTTTCCACATAAAAATTCTAATTTCAGGCACATATTAAAACAGTTTGAGATGGAAATCTTTGTTTTAAAAAACAATAGCATATGGCCATATATCCCACACACGTAGGTTTTATGCCCCACCATGGGGTATATATACCTCATTT